TGTTATTATTATTGTTATTATTATTATAATTATAATTATTATAGTTATTAAGATTTGGGTTAGTAAGATTTATAAATTTTCTTAAACTTATTGGTGAATGATCTAAATTGAAATTAAAATTTGTTATTGTTGTGATATTATTTGATACTGTTTTGAACCAATGCCAATTTACAAAAATTAAATTATTAATAATGTCATTTCTATGAAATTTCATTTCTTTATATATATATTTGTTGACTTTATTATATTTATAACATATTAATTTGATAATATAATTTTGTAAATATAATGATAAATTTACTTTTTTTTTACCGTCATGATCATCAAAATAAAAATGATCAAGATTATAACCCATAACATTGGGTAAAATAATTTTATTTGGGTACATGTTATTTATTATTATTATTTAATAATAATTATTATTATTATTGTGGTGTTAATAACTCTAAAAGAAATTTTTCCAAAAAATTAATATTTTATTAAAAAAAAAAAAAATTTTTAATTTTTAATTTTTTTTTTTTAATATTTTTTTTTTATAAATATTGATCAATATGGAAGCAATAATTTATTTTTAATCTTTTTTTTTTGTTTATTTTTTTACAAATAAAAAAAAATCTTTTATTCATTCCTAAATCTTTCTATTCTTTTAAAATAATAATATTTGTTTAAAAAATGGAAAAAGAAAAATTTGTTCAACATGAAGATTTAAGACATCAAGTAGAATATTCCAAATCAAATAGGTAAATAAATAAATAAATAAAAAAAAAATAAATAAAAAAAAAAAAAAAAATATTCAATGATATTAATTTATTTTTATATTTAGATCGTCATGTAAAAAGTGTAGATCAACTATAGCAATGAATGCTATTCGTATTGGTGTTGAAACTCCTTCCCGTGTTTTTGATGGCTATGATGTTAAGTGGTACCATTTATCATGTGTAGATTTTGCCAAGTCCAAAGTATTTTATATTAATCAATTAAAGCATTATGAACTATTAAGATGGGACGATCAAATTAATATTAGGGCAGTTTTAAAACAATCTGATGATAACTTAGATTCATCATTAAAAACTGTAAGTTATACTTTGGGCATAACAAACTATAATTAATTACTTTCACAAACTAACTATATTTTTTTTTTTTTAGTACTATGATGAAGTTTGGAGAGTTAAAGATATTATTGGTGAACAGTTAAAGCCAGCCATTATTAAAAAGTTATTTTTAGAAAACTATCCAAAATTAGATTCACTCTCACCAAATTACAATCTTCATTTTCTTGCAGATGGTCTAGTATTTGGTAGAAATGGTCCATGCCCCACATGTAATGGTTTAACAGTTTTATATGATGGCAAGAATTATTATTGTAGAGGTTATACTTCATCTTTTTCACGTTGTAATTGGCATGGCAGTTCAAATAAAAGATATCGTTGGGTTCTTGATAAAAGTGTGATACCATCAAGCGCAAAGTTCTTTAAAGATTTTCATTTCTCTCACATTCATCCACACGAAAACTTGGATTTGGAGAGTATTGTTCCATTGGGCAGCACTAGTAATTGGATCGATAACGAAGGTAACAATGAAGAATTAATCGACTCTGAACCATCAGCAAAAACATTTTTATTTAAAGATAACATCAAAAAGGACTCAGTTTTATTAAAAGTCGATCCAGAGTTCAGCAAAGCCAAATCAGGTGAGATTGTGGTAAAGAATGACGAAGAATATGGCGACTATGCTTTCAATATTAGCATGAGTTATACAGATTTGGTCCATAATAATAATAGCTTTTATATTTTACAACTTATTAAAGTCCGTTCAACTTATTGGGTCTATTGCAGATGGGGTCGTATTGGTACCTCCTCTGGTGGTACAATGGAACACGATCATTCGTCCTTTGCCAGTGCATCAAAAGAATTTGAAGAGCGTTTTGAAGATAAATCGGGTGTAAAATGGTCAGAGAGAGCCAACTACAAAAAGCAAAATGGTAAATACTATTTGGTAGATCTCGAAGATAATGTTAGTACTGATGATTACTATGATGGCTCATCATCCGAACCACAACCATCCTTTGATACCAAGCCATCCAAGCTTCCAGTTGCTGTACAGGAACTAGTTAAAACCCTTTTCGATAGTGACCTAATGAAGAAACAACTATCTGCACTTCAATTTGATGAAAAAAAGATGCCACTCGGCAAAATTTCACAAAATCAAGTTAAAATGGCATACAAGGCTTTAACCCAAATTCAAGATATTATTGAAACTGATGAAAAAGAAAACCCATTGAAACAAAGTCAATTAATGGAAGCCTCATCACGTTTCTATACTATTATTCCACATTCGTTCTCATCTATTGGTTCAAAGATCCCCGTTATAAATAGCACAGAGCTTTTAATTAAATCCATGCGTTTAGTTGATGCACTTAGCGAAATTGAAGTTGCCAACAACCTTAGAAAACTCTCTCAAAAAGCTTCATCTGGTAATTCAATTGATGATAACTACTCCATTCTTAACAGCAAGCTTGAAGCATTATCAAGAGAATCCTCATTATTCAAAAATGTCGAAGACTATCTTTTATCTACAACCGATCCAAACATCGAGAACCTTTCTAACTTTGAAATTCAAGATATCTTTTCAGTTGAGAGAAACGGTGAAGAGGAACAATTTAAACAATGGGAATTCAACCAACGTATGTTATTATTCCATGGATCTAGAATTACAAATTGGATTGGTATTTTATCAAATGGCTTTAGAATTGCACCCCCTGAAGCTCCAAAAACTGGTTATAGAGCTGGCAAAGGTTTATATTTTGCTGATACAATCAATGTATCATTGGGTTATTGTTACCCAACCAAAGAGTATCCAGTTGCAGTGTTATCAATTTGTGATGTTGCACTAGGTTCATCTTTACCAATTTATCAAGATACCTATATGGAAGAACCAATGTACGGTTTTAATAGCACAAAAGCAATAGGTAAAAAAGCTCCAGCACTTTTTGACTCTTTAAGAGGAAGTAACAGTTTCGAAGAAGAATCAACAATCCAAGTCGGTCCAATCATAGAATCTAGTGTTATCACATCTTTTACTCATAATGAATATGTAATTTATAACAAATCACAGTGTAGAACTAAATACTTGGTTTTATTAAAACTAAAATAATAATAATCAAAATCAAATTTTAAAATAGGTAAAAAAAAAAAAAAAATTATAAAAAAGGGATTTTTTATTAATAAAAAAAAATTAAATTTTTTTTTTTATAAAATATTTTTGTATAAAATAAATAAAAAAAAAACAAAATAAAAACAAAACAAAATAAAAGAGTGTTTATTATAATTATTTATTACAATTTTCAACGAAGTGGATATTTAATTTTTTTCTGATTACTGCCTTGCAAAAAAAGGTGAAATGAAATGATTATTATAAAATTGGTAAAAAATTATTGTTTAGTTTTAATTAATTAATTAATCAAATCTTTTATTATAATAAAAAAACAAAAATAATAATAAAAAAAAAAATTGGGGGGAAATGATCAAGTTTCACACTCTCCTAAATTATTTGAAAACTGAAATTTTTTTTTTTTTTTTTTTTTTTTCAAATAATTCAATCCATTTTTAAAAATAAATAAAAATAAAAAATTAAAAAAAAAATAAAAATCATTTTTTGGATTAAACTGAAAAAAAAAAATCTTTATAAATAGTTTAAAAAATTAATCTTTTATTTTTTTTTTTTTATTCTAAATAGTTTAGAGTTTACATTGTATTTTATTTATTTATTTAAATTGTTGTAAAATTATATATATTAAAAAGAAAAAATAATAACTAAAAAATGAAATTAAAAATTGGTATTGCTTTACAAGTTGTTGTATTAGTTGGTATTGTTATAGCGTTAATTCTTCCATGGTACGAAATCAAATTAAAAGAAAATACTTTCACCAAACAAACTGTAGTTAATTATAAATGGAAAGAGTTTAGTTGTCAAGTCGAGGGTACTGATGTAAATATCTTACAATCTTTTATTTAAAATTTTAAAATAATTATTTTAATTAATAAACATCTTTTTTTATATTATAGAAATTAACAGTTAAATATGACAGTGACGATATTATAGATAATGCAGCTATTGGTGCATGTGTTGCTAGAGCTGGTGTAAATCCATTTAAAACTGAAGAAATCTCAACAGTTTTAAACTCTTGCCTTTCATTCTTGGTTATTGCTGGTGCTCTTGCTCTTGGTACTGCTCTTTTACAAATTATTTTACTCGTCTCACCAAAATTATGTAGATCATGTGTTTGGAAATTACTTTGCATTGGTTGTGCTATCGCTGGTGTTGTTATGCTCTTTATTTCATTCTTTACATTATTGGCTCTTCCAAAGAAATTTGATGAAGATACTTCAAACCTTTCAGTCTGTAAAGAAAGATGGTGCGATAAGATTATCGGTAACGATGATGATTATAGATGGATTCCAGGTGGTGGTTGGTGGGCTGCATTAGCTGCTTGTTTCACTGCATTCTGTGCTGGTATTTTTACATTAGCTTCAAATAGATAAGGTTTTTTATAACAAAATCTTAATTCTTATTATTATTTAATCAATTTTGAATAATAAAAATATTTAAAATAATAATTTATTATTATTTATTTTAAATTTTATTAAAAACATAAATTAAATAAAATTTTATTTGTTACACAAAACAAATATTTAAAAATAAAAAATAATATGGGGAAATTTTTTTTTTTTTTTTTTTATGTTTATTTATTTTTTTTTTTTATATTTTTTTATTAACTTTAATTTAAATTGGCTTTTTTTAATCTAATGGTATTGAATCATGATTATACACTCTTTAATGGTTGTAATGGTGGTTCGTCTATAATCTCTATTGAAATTTCAAAAGTTAATTTACCATTATTTAAATATTGATAGGGAAAACCAACTGGAAGATTAGCTCTTCTAGTTGAGTCTGTATGGGTGAATCGAGTACATTTGCATTGAAGTACAATGTCATCATTCAATTTTATAGTAAACATAACATTTCTAGATGAACTAAATAACCCTAATGCTAACGAAATTGAAATTTGAGTTTTGGTTATTGTAATAAGAAATTTATTATAACCAAAAATAATTTCTGGTGATACGAATTTTTCATAAAGAGGATTAAAACTATGTTCCCATCTATTTTTATATTTATTCTCTTTAAGAATTGTTTTGGACTCTTTCTCATTTATATAATTGTAAAATCTATTATTTGCAAATGTTTGGGAATAAGTAAATTCTTCAAAATCTTTTTTGTTTTGGGTTAAGAGTGAATTTGTGTTATTATATTTTAGTTCTAACTGGTTAATTTTAATTGAATATTGGTCTAGTTTTTTTTGAAGTTCTTGATTTTCTATTGTTAGCTTAGCTACCATTTCTTGTGATGCTTTAAATTGTTGATCCCTTATATTTTGAATATAAACAGAGTGGTTAACATCATTTAAATGTTTTACTTGATCACATCTTTGAAAAATTTCAGTGCAGCCACCATCTATATATTTGCATTGGATTTGAGTTTTGGGACAATCGTTTTTAATATGGTTTTGTAAATTGCCTCTTTCGACCATAACAAAATTATTGTTACCAGGTTTACCATTTTTGCATTCTTGAGTGCATTTAACCAAATATTTTGGGCAAGTTGTATCTTGATGCTGTTTTAAAATCTCTTTTTTTCCGAAATCAACTTGACAATATGTGCAAACACCAATGGTTATACTGCATACTTCTTGATGTTTTTTAATTGAATTTTTTCTAATAATACAGTAACATTTTGATTCTTTTGGGGTATTACTTTTATTAAAAGGACACTCTATAAATTCATATGGACAGTTTTTTAAATGGCTTTCTAATTCATCAAAAGAAAATATCATTTTACAACCAAATTTTTCATCCTTTACAATCTTTCCACCAGCATTTCTATAAATATTTGGGCAACATACTTTTTTTTCTCTAAAATCCTATAAATTTATTAATATAAAGTTTTAATTTTTAAAAAATTTTAAAAAAATTAATATTTTACATACTTTTTGAAGTAATATATTTTTTGATAAAGTTTTAAAATCACATGGAGCTCTACAAGCCATACATTCTTTTTTTCTTGCTAAAGATTGGGTCCAACAACTCGTACAAAAAACATGACCCTCTTTACATTGGAATGCTTCTATTTTATTTAAATCTTTAAATAAACATTCGGCACAAATTTCACACATATACTTATCTTCTAATGAATTGAAATCAACTAAAATATCCTCTAATGTGTATTTAATTTTAGTTTTATTATTTTTATTATAGTTATTATTATTATTATTATTATTATTATTATTATTATTAATATTTTTATATTTTCTACTTAAAAGCATTATTTGATACAGGGAATTAGGTTTTTTTTTATGTGTTAGTTTTAAAAATTATACAGAAAATAAAAAAAAAATTAAAATTAAATTTTTTTTTTTTTTTGATTCTTGAGATTTATAAATTTTTTTAAAAAAATAAGATAAATTTTTTCTTTAATATATATTAAACACAATTTAATTTTTTATTTAAATAAAAATTAATAAAATTTATTTAATTAAAAACTTTTTTTAAGTATTTTAAAATACCTATAATAAAGTTGTTTTTGTATTTTAATAGATAGGGTTTTTTTCTTATTTATTTTATACTATATTTTTAAAAATAAATCTGTATTTTTTAATTTTTAAAAAAATTGTGAAAGGAATAAAAACCAAGACCCATAAAAAATTTAATAATTTTTCTAAATATTTTTTAAAAATCACACAAATCCTAAGCTTGTGAAATTAATTAGGATTTAGGGGCATCAACTAATTTTTAGTTGATGGGGGTATTCCCGAGGGAAGTTTTATGAAGTGAAGATGATTTTAATGATACATTTAAAATTTATTTATTTTTTTATTTTTTAATGTTAACTTTATCTAATCTACTTCGAGATCCTGATCTATTTGGAGATCCTGATTTTTATCCCGGAGGGTTTGTAATGGTTCTTTTATTATCTCTATTGAAATTCCAAAAGTTAGTTTACCCTTATTTAAATATTGATGGGGAAAATCAACTGGAAGATTGGCTGTTATGGTTGAACTTGAATGGGTAAATCGAATACATTTGCTTTGAAATCTAAAGTCATCATGACCACCGATTTTATACAATTTTATAGTAAACATAACATTTCTAGATGAACTAAATAACCCTAAAACTAACGAAAGTGAAATTTGATTAATTAAATTATCTATGGTAATAAAAAAATTATTAGTACCAAAAATAATTCCTGGTGATACGAAATTTTTTAAGTGAGGATTATAGGTATGTTCCCATCTATTCTTATATTTGTAGTCTTTAAGTATTGTTTTGGAGTCTTTTTCATGATTATACTTTTCTAACTTGCTAATTTTAGTTGAATATTGATCTTCAAAATTTTTTTTGATATGGATTATAAATGATTTTGTGAAATCATACTGGTCTTTAATATCTTTTTTGGTTTGGGTTAATAATGAATTTGCAGTATTATACCCAATTTGCAACTGGTGAGTTTTAGTTGTATTGTTTTCGAGATCTTTTTTGGTTTGGGTTAATAATGAATTTACAGTATTATACCCAATTTGTAACTGGTGAGTTTTAGTTGTATTGTTTTCAAGATCTTCTTTGATTTGGGTTAAGAATGAATTTGTGTTATTATATTTTAGTTCTAACTGGTTAATTTTAATTGAATATTGGTCTAGTTTTTTTTGAAGTTCTTGATTTTCTATTGTTAGCTTAGCTACCATTTCTTGTGATGCTTTAAATTGTTGATCCATAATATTTTGAATATAAACAGAGTGGTTAACATCATTTAAATGTTTTATCTGATCACATCTTTGAAAAACTTCAGTGCAGCCACCATCTATATATTTGCATTGGATTTGAGTTTTGGGACAATCATTTTTAATATGGTTTTGTAAATTGCCTCTTTCGACCATAACAAAATTATTGTTACCAGGTTTACCATTTTTGCATTCTTGAGTACATTTAACCAAATATTTTGGGCAAGTTGTATCTTGATGCTGTTTTAAAATCTCTTTTTTTCCGAAATCAACTTGACAATATGTGCAAACACCAATGGTTATAGTGCATACTTCTTGATGTTTTTTAATTAAATTTTTTCTAATTATACAGTAACATTTTGATTCCTTTGGGGTAGTACTTTTATTAAAAGGACACTCTATAAATTCATATAGACAATTTTTTAAATGACTTTCTAATTCATCAAAAGAAATTATCATTCTACAACCAAGCTTTTCATCTTTTACAATATTTCCACCAATATATCTATAAATATTTGGGCAACATACTTTTTTTTCTCTAAAATCCTATAAATTTATTAATATAAAGTTTAATTTTTAAAAAATTTTAAAAAAATTAATATTTTACATACTTTTTGAAGTAATATATTTTTTGATAAAGTTTTAAAATCACATGGAGCTCTACAAGCCATACATTCTTTTTTTCTTGCTAAAGATTGGGTCCAACAACTCGTACAAAAAACATGACCCTCTTTACATTGGAATGCTTCTATTTTATTTAAATCTTTAAATAAACATTCGGCACAAATTTCACACATATACTTGTCTTCTAATGAATTGAAATCAACTAAAATATCCTCCAGTGTGTATTTAATTTTAGTTTTATTATTTTTATTATTACTATTATTATTAATATTATTATTAATATTTTTATCTTTTTTTTTTGATGCCATTATTTGATACAAAGAATTATAATAACTATATATATGTGTTTGTTTTAAAAAAAAATTTTAAAAAATAAAAAAAAAAAAAATTAAAATAAAAAAAATTTTTTTTTACGATTCCCTGAGATTTTTATTATTTATAAAAAAAATAAAAGTTTTTATATTTTTGTTTTTGTATTTTTTAAAGTAAAGATGGTTTTTAATGATACATCAAGTCATCATCATTCATTATCAAACAACAAAGAAAATCAGATGAACTCAAAAAAAAACTAAAGAGCTAATGGATGATGCAAAGAAACAACTCTTGTGCAAAGGATTCAACGAAAATGATTATTTGTAAAGGTTGTTTAAATCTAAGATTCCCAGGATGCTTCAATGATAGAATGTTGTTTTTACTTTAGAAACTAAAAATCCCTAGAGTAAGGGGTTGAAAAGCAGATAGAGTATCTTGGTAATCTATTGGTTCATTTTGATTTGGGTATAAAATGGATGGGAAAAATTGTGGTAATAATCTACCTAATAATAAATTTGCGATTGAAAAAAAAATAATTAAAGGTATATGCAAGCAACTACAGATTTTGTTTCATTTTACTATATCATAAACACATTCAAAACAAATTTTAGAAAATAAACCAAGTTTTCCAAATAACTTAATTTTAAAAATCTTACTTTTTACTTTTTTTTAAAAAATTATCATTACCACAATTAATTATCATCAAATGATTTTAAATATTTCATTTTTTTTTAATATTTTACTTTATGAAATAACATCAATAACACTTTTTTTAGATATGTATTTTCAGTATTTAGAAATTGTTTGAAAATTAAAATTATGTGTATTTTATAATAACTATTTAAAAAAATCTTTTTTTTTTTTTTTTTCAAAATTTTTTAAAAAAAATTAAAAAAATTTATTCATTTTATTTTCTTTATTTTGGAACTATTATTTCTTTTTATTTATATAACCAAAGTAAAAACTTTGGTTAAATATTCACAATAAAAGAATGTAAACACACAAACAATAACATTTTCTTTTTTTATTGATAATATCCTTTTTTATTGGGATGAAATATCGTAATCATTCTTTGATTCACTTTAAAAAACAAGAAAATTTTTTTTTATTTATTTTTATTTATTTTTTTTCTTTGATTATAGAGATCATTAATTTTTATAAATAATTTTTTTTTTTATAATTATTTCACCCATTTGTAATATACATTTTTTTTATTTACAAATAAAAAATAATGGATAAAATTACAAAAAAAACATTAAAAAAATTTATTCAAGATCAAAATCTCTCACAAAATGCACCTTATTCAATTTCATCAGAGTCTTACAAGTTCCTTAATGATTTTGGCAATAATTATATAGATACTATAATTAAACTTTCAATTGCAATTGGTATAAAAAGAAATGAAGATGTTTTGGGATCAAATGAAAGAATTAAAGTAAAAATAGGCGATTTATTAACATCATTACCCATTTTATTCACTACTGGGACATTTCTTAATAGTTTAGCATGTACAGTTTCAAATGAAGAAGAAAAGAGTAAAACCAATTTCCCAAAACCATGGGTTAAATCTAAAATCAAGGATCTTGGTATATGTGACAAGTTTAAATTTGAGAAGGGGTACATCAGTTCATTGTCATCATCATTAACTTTGATTATTTATCAAATTATTTCAGATTCTTTTATTCCAGAAATAATTGTATGTATAATATAATTATTAATTTAAAAAAATGAATAATACTAATTTTTTTTTAAATTAGTGCATTGAGTTTATTACAATTCGATATAGACTTAAAGAGGAAATGTTGGATTTAAATCTTATTTTTAATAAAGATTTTATTTATAAACCTGAAGAGAATAAAAAGAAAGAACAATTTGCAGACACTAAAGCTCAAATATGCCAATTATTTGGTATTAAAGATTTTTTACAAAATAGAATAACAATTTTAAATTATTTAATAGATTATTATAATAGAAATACCAATGGTAACTACAGCAACAATAATATTAGTGATAATAGTGGTATACTAAAATTAAAAGACATTACTGTTAATCATCAAGAAAAGAAAGAAAAAGAGGAACAGCATGAGGACCATGAAGAGGAAATGGAAGAAAACGAATTAATGCTATATGAAGAGAACTTAAAAAAATATGTTAATAAGGTAAATGGTAAGGTACATTCTAACATATTGAAACGATACCTCTATTCCAACCAAGTAGAATCTAAATCACAAAAAAAGAAGAAACAAAGAGTAGGGTCAATAAAAGCATATGAAGGAAACACAATAATTTCAAAAACTGTTCAAATTGAAAGTGATGAAACTGACAACTCTGAATATTCAAGTATTTCTTCAGATGAATCATACATTCATGCAGATTTTAATGCTACAACAAGAAATGAAGAACCAGGGTCACCAGACCATGATTCATTAACTTACAAAGAAAGACTAAAGAAATATGGTTCAGGTTATGAAGAGTGGAGGGGATATGCTGTATTATTCTATAGAGATTTGATTGATACCGATTCAGGCCATGAGATCATGGGCGGTTCAAGATGGTTATGGGAAAATCGTGAAGATTTTGGCTGGTCTGAAAAAGATTATAATTACTATAATGATTGAAGTAAAAAAAATAAAAAATTAATTTGTATTTTTTTTAATCAAATTTTCCTTTTAATTTTTTTTTAATTTTTTTTTTAATTTTTTTTTTAGAAATGTTTTAAATTAATGAATGTTTCCCCTTTTTTTTTATGAAGATGATTTTTAATGATATATTAAGTTATCAGTATTTTTTATTGTGTTTTATTTGTTTTTTTGTATTTAAATAATTTATTAATTTAATTCTAAAATGTATTGAATACCCATTAGAAAACAATTGGGTTGTAAACCAAACAAATAAAAATATCGAAATTAGTTCAGAACTAATTTGCTTTTGGAAAACTTTAAAAGGATCTGATTGTCAAGTAGTATATTAGAACCAGGATACATCAAAGTATCTATTCCCAACTATAGATCAAAGTCCACATTATAATAACAGATGATATCGTAAGTATCGTCAAATACAATCGATTTTAACATCAAATCAACTGAATCAACAATATCATTATTTGATAATCAGTGATAGTAAAGTTCTCTATGGTAGATTTATAAATAGGGCAATTTCAGATTAACTCCCAACAATTTTCACAACTTCACTAATATCAAAAACCAACGAATCAATGACCATCGGGATCGATATACCACATTGCAATCAATGTCTTATCGATCCAGACTTTTCAGTTCTAGTATCACCAGACTTCAAATCAAATTGTGAAAGCTCTTCAAAAAAATCACATTATACCAGTTGCTGTATTAGTAAGTGTTGTTGGTGGAGCATTAGCTGTATATAAATGAAGAATAGAACTTAAATTTAACTTAAAAAAAGAAATTGGATTAAGTAAACTTAATAAATAAAATAAATATTATTTAAAGACAATATCATTATTTTTAAAAGAGTTCTAAAATTTCAGATAAAATAAAAAATGGGTATTATAATTAAATTAAATAAAAATAAATGATATAGTTAATAAAAATAAAATTTAAAATTGTAATTGGAGTTGGAGTTGGGGTTTGGAGTTGGTCTTTGTTTTAGTCTTGGTTTTGGTTGTGGACTTGGGATCAATTGAGGATTTGGTGTTGGTGTTGGAGTTTGATTTGGTAATGGAGTTGGAGTTGGAGTTGTAGTTGGAATTGAAGTTGGAGTTGGAGTTGGAGTTGGAGTTGGAGTTGGAGTTGGAGTTGGAGTTGGAGTTGGAGTTGGAGTTGGAGTTGGAGTTGGAGTTGGAGTTGGAGTTGGAGTTGGAGTTGGAGTTGGAGTTGGAGTTGAAGTTGGAGTTGGAATTGGAATTGGTATATACATTTAAAAGTGGAGTAGGAATTGGTATATATATTTAAAAGTGTAAATTTAAATTTACCTAGAGTTTTTAAAGAAATAATAAAATCTAATAATAGATTATTAAAGTTTTTCCATACATTTTATATAAAATATATCTCTTACAATTATATATTTATTTTGTTTTTTTAGAAGCATTATCTGCATTTAATTATGTGATTAATTAATAATAACGAGTTTATAATCATTTTTAATCATATTATAATTATATTTTATTAAATTAAAATTTAAAAATAAAAAATTAATAAAGATTTATATGTTTATTAAAAAAATAGTAGTCTCATTTACATTATGAAGTTCAAATAATTATATTATATTAAAATTTTAAATTTTTTTTAAAAAAAAAAACATTAATCCCACAACGCAATGGTTTATAGTGTGGGGTGTGTGGTACAAATTCCTTCATATCTAAAAAATAATTTTTAAAATAAAAAATTTTTAAATTTAAAAAAAAAAAATTTTTTTTTATTTTTATTTTTAATTCACCCACATTGACCTTCTTTTAACATTATTCATGTAAGTAGTATTAATAAACAAAAAAATAAAAATTTATTACAAATATTAATAACTTTTAAAAAAAAAAAAATTTGTAATTACAGATATACAAAATAATTTATATTCAAAAATGGAACAAAGAAATAAAAAGATAAGAACCATCCCAACTGTTGATACTAGAACAATAGATGAAATAATCAACAAAAAGCTTGCCAATGATTATGAAAAGGAAATTGAAGAAACCAAAGAAGAAATTATTGATAAGGAAATAAAAATTCAAAATATCAATACTGGAAATAAAAGACCATATTATTATGAAGAACAAATGGAAATTTCTAAATTAGAAAATGAAATTAAGGATTCAAAAGAAGAAATAATTGAAAAGTTATATTTATTAAAAGAAAAAGATAGTGCCAGAGAAATCCATGCCATATCACTAAGAAAAATGCAAAAAGAGATTGAAGAATCCGAACAATCCCTTGAAAACGCTCATGAGGATTATGAAATCGAAGAAACTACTCTCGAAATTGAAAAATCCAATTGTAAAGAAATAAGAAAAGAACATGAAAAGCAATTAGAAATTCTTGAACATGATATAGATGTTATAAACTTTCAACTCGAAATCATGGCCAAAAAAAATGAAGAAAAGGAAAAAGAATTAGAGGAAATAAGTAAAAAAAATGAATTCAGATATTTTAAGAAGCAAGCTATAGAATCACTTTTGTACCAATCTGAAGAAGAAATCGAGAGATTAGAAATGGTTCTAGGTCAAATGGTTTATACAAGATTAAATAAAATGAATATTGATAACTAGATCATATTCATAAACTTTTTATAGATAAATTTAATTTAATAAAAAACACTGTATATTGTAAAAAAAATTTTATTTTTTTATATTTTTTTTTTTTATTCATTTTTAAAAATTTATTTTACAACATAATTAATAATTAAATATATTGGGTATTTATCTTTTTGTTGGTAACATTTTATAAAAAAATTATTTTTTATAAAAATGAAAAAAAAAAAAATATTTTAAATTAAAAAGGAAATTTCTAAAATTATATAAACATTAAACAATATATACACACACACTATTTACCTGAATATATACCTTTAAATTTTGATTTTTTATTAATAAATTTTAGCAAAAATAGAAAAAAGGTAAAAAATTTAAAAAAAAATAAAATATTTTTACAAAATAAAATCATTTTAATTTATAAAAATTTAAATAAAGTTTTTGGTATAATTACAACCATATTTTGAACCAACAAAACAATAATGATAATAAAATAATAAACATATTAGAAAAAACTATAGATCATTTTGTTTATATGATCAAATTTAGCATAATATAAAAATGATAATTAAAAATGGATATGAAGAGGTTGAAAAATGAATTAACTAATGATATTGTTTTTTTAAAAATAGGTGAATTGGAACAATAATGGGGGTTTTTTAAAAATGTAGTGGTATATGTTTATTTTTAAATATTATTTAAAATTACCATTACATATTTTTGATTATTTATAAATTCAGTATTTAACTATTGTTATTTTATATACCAAATAGAGTTATTGGTTTATTGTAAAAAAAATAATTTATTATAAAAAAAAATTAAAAAAAATTAATTTTAAAATTTTATAATTAATTTTTATTTTTATTTTCCCCTCTTTTTATTCATATTTTTTATTACACTTTTTTTTCACTCTATTATTTATATCAACGTATATATTTATTCAGTATTTAAATGATTAATAAATTTAATATATATAGTTATATCATAAGGCTATAGAAAATAGTAATAAGATTTCGAGTAAATTATGGAAATTGTTTTCAGATAAAACCGATCATTTAACTCAAAAAAATATTGAATATTAAAAAATGATGGAATAGGTGTGTATTTATTTTAAATTTTTTGTATTAAAATTTAATATTAAAATTTTTTTTTTTTATGAATTATTACACTAGAAAGTAATACAAGAAAATTAATTTGGACAAGGTCAGAAAATTTTCAGAGACTAATGGTACATGCTTAAGTGATCTTATATTAATCAGTGAAGAATTTAATGAATCAAATTTATCAAATATATACACGTTCCAAGTTGACCCAGAAAAGATTTCAAGTTCATTTATTAATAATTTAAAATAGGACTAATTATTGAATATAGATTATAGTTACCATTAAATATATGAATCACTATAATTATATTTTATTAATTATTATAATAAAATAACATTTTTAATTGGTTTAGGAAAGGGGTAAATTTGATAACATTGTGTGTTTTTTATTAATAAAAATGTGGGAAACATATTAATATTACCTTGATTGTATTTATTATCGAGTTATTATAACTATTTTTGATTATTTTAAATTCAAAGCTTTAAATATATAATTATTTTATACTTTAATATAATATTAATTAAAAAAAAATAAAATTTTTTTAATAAAAAAAAATTTAATTTTAAATTTTATTTTAAATATTTTTTTTTATACCTTTTTTTATAAAATTTTTTATAAATATATACACTACATATTTTTATAATTTTATTTTATATATCTTATATTACAATCATCTTTTTTATATATCATACACATTTTTATTTTATTACATTTTTTATAAATACACAATATCACAATATCTTATATTACAATCATCTTTTTTATATATCATACATTTTTATTTTATTACATTTTTTACAAATACACAATATCACAATTTTTTCAATATAATTTTTCAAAAATGAAATTAACTCCACAAAAAATAGTGGATTTATTAAAGGATATGATTATCCAAACATTTTACGCAAGAGGAGAAAATAAATCATTTTTTAATGAAGGTGTTACAACAGCCGAAAAAATGATAAAGAAATTTAAGTTAACCCAATTAATCCAACCAACTACTTTGGTTGTTAATTATTTTACAGTTCATCAACAACAAGAAGATGAACAAGAACAATTAGTTATTCAAAATGATCAACAGCAAGAAGTTGATCAACAACATTTAGAACAAAATGAAGAACAACAAAAACAAGTTAATCAACAACATTTAGAAAAAAATGAAGATCAACAACAAGAATTTGATGAAAAAAATTTAGAAAATAATGAAGAGGAGCAATTACACCTCTCATTAACTCTTGAGCATCATCCTATAGATAGTGATGAAGAATTTAACTACAAATATAGGTGTTATCAGGATCCAAATTCCCCACCAGCAACCCCAAAATCACCATCTCAAAAACAAGAGCCAGATGAGATTAGTCAACAACAAATTGAAGAAAATGAAAAAGAAGAGAGTCAAATTGGGGAGATGACCTTATCGCAACAAATTGAAGCAAATAATTTTCAAGAGTTTTTAAAAAATCATAAAGAACCTGAACCAATAGTACTCGGTTTAACTCTTGAACATCATCCTATAGATAGTGATGAAGAATTTAACTACAAGTATAAGTGTTATCAGGATCCAGATTCACCAGGAAACCAACAACAAGAAGAAAATCAAGCTGAAGAAAGCAATCAAGAAAATTCCCACCCACTTTTAAATCAAGATCAAATGGATCAATATGCATCATCTGATAATGATGATGAAAATCAAAATCAAAATTTACGTCTTTCTTTAACACTTGAGCATCACCCTATCGATAGCGATGATGATTACGATTACAACTGGAAGTGTTATCAAGATCCAAACTCCCCATCATCAACCCCAAAATCACCAGCTCAAGATCAAGAAGAGCAAGAAGAAAATGATCAAAATCAAGTTGATAGTCCAGAACAAGAAAAACAGGTAGAAGAATTAACATTATCGCAACAAATTGAAGAAAAGAATTTTCAAGAATTTTTAAAAAATCATCAAGAACCTGAACCAATAGTCCTCGGTTTAACTCTTGAACAACACTCCATCGATAGTGAGGAAGAATTTAATTATAATTATATAAGTTATCAAATACCAAATATTTCACCAATAGCATCATCCCCAGTAATCAATCAACAAGAAAACTATATAGCTGAAGAAACCGACCAAAATGAAATTCAAGAAAATCATGATCAACAAAATGAAGCAGAGCATTTGACAAAACAAACAAATCAAAAAGTCGAAGAAGATCAACAACTCTAATAAGAAATCAAGTCTAGGAACCCTCATGAAGCAATAATTAACACTCATCAATATCAATTTCAAATAATCTACAACCAATAACCACTATACAACAATAATAAATAATTAATCAAAATCAATAATATTATAAAACTAATAATAAAAATAATAAACAATAAACAATAATAAAAAAAATAATAATAATAATAATAAT